TCCCCAGGGGAGTCCCCAGGGAGTCTTGGAGTCCCCAGGGGCTCTTCCGCCCTAACTTGAAATCGACTCACAGCCTCTGGATCTCCAAGGATGGAGGTGCTCAGGTCTAAAGGTAGAAGTCGAATCGTGTTTCCTACCTTCCTGGCTCTCCAATGCTACATTAAAATGGTCTGGCAAGACCGTCTTGGTGCAATGGATCATCGTCTGAAGTGCCTTGAGATGATGATCCACTGCAGCTTCCTCTTGCTTGTTCGCCCCAATTTTATTTATTTACTTATTTTACGTCATACGCACTTTCTTCCCGCAAAAGAATCTGTTGTAATGTTACGGACTGTTCTAGATTCTCAACCGTACCTATCAACCAGATTGCGAGAATGGTGTCCGGTCTTTTCGTCCAAGTCTTTTCGTCCGAAAGTCTTTTCGTCCAAGTCTTTTCGTCCCGAAAAGTATTTTCACCTAATTCTATTAGTTTACTTGTTAAGTCTTTTCTCGAAGCAAATAAATAACTATTATATTATATTATATCATAGATAAGGCCCTTTTGGCTCACCAATCTTCGTTTTACGAATTCAACGTCATGTATTTAATACACAGAGAATGAATGAAGTTGTAACGCAATATATTTTATTAAATAGTAGCAAAAATAAAGACTTGCTTGCCGTTTAATTATTTCACGCGAAAGAAATGGGAATATTAGGCTTGTTGTTAAGCGTCTATGGAGCGTAAAAGGCAACGAAGTGTAACATCACAACGTGTCCGACATACCCAAATGGCGGCGGCTCACAACAAGTTCTTTATATAGCCTTATCTAGCCTTCTAAAAGTTATTTATTTGCTTCGAGAAAAGACTTAACAAGTAAACGAACAGACCTAGGTGAAAATACTTTTGGACGAAAAGACTTCTGGACGAAAAGACTTCTGGACGAAAAGACCGTAATTCGCGAGAATTGACCGAGTCATGGGATAACGTAACGAAGTAACGCAAAATTTGGCTTGAGAGGAGAAAGTCCGATCTTGAGCTCGAAAGAAGTTTTAACTTTATATCTCTTATCAGGCGTTTTGTTGTGTGTTATCGCTGAGTACTTTTACGAGTTTTGCCGTATTTTGACGAGCCCGTCGGGCGAGTCAAAGTACAATTATAACATAATCGAAGTTAAGCGCGCGCTCTGATTGGTCAATTTAGCGTCCCATTTACCCATGGGTGTACGCTGCCGACGTGAGCAAATGC